CTCCGGAAAGAATACTAGCAGATTCAGCTTCTTTCTTGCATCTGATATCTCATAAAAAAGGATCTCGGTTTTAGAAAGAAAAGAAGGAATAGGAAAGTAGAGGGTGAGAAAGTGAAATTGTTAACTTTGTACTGGATGTCCTTTCCTACTTTCTGGAGGTTCTTGTACCTTTGAATTTCTTGTCATGAATATGTGCATAAAACCTTGTTTTTATAAAACTACTTTCTTTATTTTATCTTTAAATATTTTTAAAATTCATGAAATGAGGATGTATATTCTCTGTCCTCATTTAAAAAAATTGGATTTAATGCCTTTATTGTATGATTTCAACTTAGAATTTTTTTAGACATATATTCCTGAACCTTGGTGTTCAGTATATTTAAAACTCTTCTTTGATTTCTGGAGCCAGGGAACAGAGTAGTAAGTACAGAGATTTTTTCCGGCATATTGCTAATACCAGATAAGTGTGAATGTCTACTACTTAGGTGAGGTGTAGAGATTACCTAAAAATAAAAAAATATAAAATATAAAAAATATTAAAAAAAGTAAGAATGTGTTATTCAAAAGACACCAAAGAGTTCAGCAGAAGCTTGTTCAAGATAATAAACATGAATGCCTAGTACATTTGATTAATGTATTTGATATTTATACAATTAGAAAGTAGTTTAGGAACAGATTACTCGGAAATACATAGAAAATGAAGGAAACACATAAATGCACCACAAAGGTCTTCCTACCACCAATTCAGGGAGTCAAAGGAAAAATAATCATATTGTATGCTACATTGCTCAGCTGTTAATAACATGTGATGATCTAATAAAAATGTATAATTACATTGAGAGAATGAGTGCATAAAAAGTGTGCCCATGTTCATGAAAAAGAACTGTATCCTATAATATTCTATGAGATTACTAGAAACTGTGAAACTTTGAATAATGTTCACAGATTAATTAATCATACTATTTTGTTAATTTCCTGTTTGTAGTAATTGTACTATGGTTATGGAAGATGATAACATTAGGGAAAGCTAGGTAAATGGGATATGAGGACTCTGTACTGTTTTTATAACTTTCTATAAGCCTAAGATTAATTCAAAAAAGAAGTTAAAAAAAATCAGTCGAGTTGAGATTTGTTGGCTCTAGGGAGTAAGACATGGGAAAGAGTTGAGGATATTGACTTTCGGTAACAATTTTATAGTACAACTTGACTATTTTCTTAAAAATTGTTTTATTTGGGACACCTGGGTAGCTCAGTGGTTGGGAGCCTACCTTCAGCTCAGGTCATGATCCTGGGATCTGGGATTGAGTCCCACATCAGGCTCCCTGCAAGGAGCCTGCTTCTCCTTCTGCCTATGTCTCTGCCTCTCTTCCTCAGTCTGTGTCTCTCATGAATAAACAAATAAATCTTTTAAAAAATTGTTTTATTTGAGGGGTACCTGGGTGGCTCAGTGATTGAGTGTATGCCTTTGACTTGGGGGTCCTGGGATCGAACCTGCTTCTCCCTCAGCCTCTGTCTGGCTCTCAGTGTGTGTCTATCATGAATACATAAAGTCTTTAAAAAATGTTTTATTTAAATTCAGTTTAATAATGTGTTATTAGTTTCAGAGGTAGAATTTAGTGCTTCAGTTGAATATATAGCACCCTTGTGCATTACATCAAGTGTCCACCTTTATGCCCATCACCCAGTTACCCCATCCCCCTACTTGCCTCTCCTCTAGTAACCCTCAGTTTGTTTCCTACAGTTAAGAGTTTCTTATGGTTTGCCTCCCTCTCTATTTTCATCTTATTTTATTTTTCCTTCCCTTCCGCTATGTTCATCTGTTTTGCTTCTTAAATTCCACATGAGTGAGGTCCTATGTTGTCTTTCTCTTACTGACTTATTTTGCTTAGCATAATACCCTCTAGCTCTATCCATGTCATAGCAAATGGCAAGATTTCATTCTTTTTGATAGCTGAGTGATATTCTGTTATATATGTGTTTTATATATGTGTGTTTGTGTATGTATGTGTGTGTGTGTGTGTGTGTGTATACACACCACATCTTCTTTATTCATCTGTCAGTGATCATCTGGGCTCTTTCCATATTTTGGCTATTATGGACATTGCTGCTGTAAACATTGGAGTTCCTTTTCCCCTTCAAATCACTATGTTTGTATCCTTTGGATAAATACTTAGTAGTGTAGTTCCTGGGTTGTAGGGTAAGAACTTGACTCTTTAATCTGTATGCATATAAAGTTGAAGAATATAGAAGTAAAAAAGTCCAGAGCACAATGAAGAAAGGTTATTTCTCTGAAATTTTAAGTTGGGAAAGAACTGACATATTAACTGTGCCTATATGTCTTATCTACAGTTCTCAATTTCAGTCTCTTTAAGGAGAAACATTTATGGAATCTGACTACATAATCCTGCTAGATTTTTATGATCTGTCCTAATACTAGTCCAAATTGCATGAAATATCTAGAAGGCTTTTATTATACTTTGTTATGGTGGAGAAGTAGAATATAATAGAAGAATGAATGGGAATATGTTTGCACAGATAGTTTGATAAACTATATTTTATAGTAATATAAACTTGTTAGTTAATTGTGTAAAGTGTAATTTTTTTTTACTTAGACATAATCAGTAGATTGTTTTTCCCTTGAGATTAATGCAACTTCTTGCCTCATATTACAAAGTAGAGTTTAAAATAATTTTTTTATTGTGGTAAAAACCCATAACATAAAGTTTACCATGATAACCATTTTTAAGTATGTAAGTCAGTGACATTACACATTCATAATGTTGTACAACCATCACCACCATCCATCTCTTTAGCTCTTTCTGTCTTGTAAAACTGAAACTTCATATCCTTCAAACAGTAACTCCCCATTGCTCTTACTCTGTGTCCCTGGCAACTGCCATTCTCCTTTTTGTCTATATGATTTTTACTACTTTAAGTACTTCGTATAAGGAGAATAATACTGTATTTCTCTTTTTGTGACTAGCACTTAGCATAATGTCCTCATTATTCATCCATGTTTTAGCATATGTCAGAATTTCTTTCATTTTTAAGATTGAATAATATTCTATTGTCTGTGTTTCATTTTTTGTTGTTTTTGTTGAGTTTTAAGATTTAATATATTCTGGATATGAATTCCTTATAAGATATATGATTTACAGATGTTTTCTCTCATTCTGTGGCATGCTTTTTTACTTACTGTCTTTGATGCACATTTAAAATTTTTCATGAAGTCCTATTTTACTTTGTTTCTTGTGCTTTTGATGTCATATCCAAGAAACATTGCTAAGTCCATTGACATGAAGCGTTCTATGTTTTCTTCTAAGAGTTTTATAGTTTTAGCTCTTACATTTAGGTCTTTGATCCATTTTGACTTTTTTTTTGGATCCATTTTGACTTAATTTTTCTATATGTAAGGGTCTAACTTCATTCTTTTGCATGTGGACACCAGTTTTTGAAAAGACTGTCCTTACCCCATTGAATGACCTTGGCTTCCCATCAAAAAGTGTTTGACTGTATATGTGATGGTTTTATTTCTAGGTTTTCTGTTCTATTCCATTGGTCTCTTTATCTGTCTTTATGCTGGTATCTCTCTGATTTGCTTACTGTAGCATTGTAATAAATTTTGAAATCAGGAGATGTGAATCCTCCAACTTTGTTCTTCTTTTCTAGATTGGTTTGCCTGTTTTGAATCCTCTAAGATTCCATGTGAATTTTAGGACGGATTTTTTTATTTCTGCAAAAAATGTCATTGGAATTTTGATAGGGTTGCATTGAATCAGTAGATTGCTTTGGGCAGTATTGAGAATATTAAGTCTTCCAGTCAGTGAACATGGTATGTGTTTCCTTTTATTTATGTCTTCTTTGACTTTTTCAGCAATATTTTGAGGTTTTCATTGTACAAGTCTTTGGCCTCCTTTGTTACCTTAATTCCAAAGTGTTTGATTCTTTTTGATGCTCTTATAAATGGGAATGTTTTCATAATTTTCTTTTCAGATTGTTTATTATTAGTTTATAGAAATTCAGTGGATTTTTTTGTGTTGCCTTTATATTCTGCTACTTTGCTGAGTTCATTTATTAGCTCTAATAGTTTTTTTGTGGAATCTTTAGGGTTTTCCATAAGATAATATCATCTGTAAACAGAGAAAATTGAATTCTTCCTTTCCAATTTGGATACTGTTCATTTCTTTTTCTTATCTAATTGCTCTGGCTCTTTCAGTATTATGTTGAATAGAAGTGGCAGAAGTGGGCATCCTCGTCTTGTTCCTGATCTTAGAGGAAAAACTTTATCTTTTACCATTGAGTCAGATGTTTGCTATGAGTCTTTCATATACTGCTTTTATTACGTTGAAATACAAAATAGAATTTTTCTATTCTTGGATTTTTTATACTTTACAAATTCTTTAAGTAAGGACAAAAGAAGAAATTCAGAGAACTTATTAGATGCCTATGTGCGTATTTGTATGTGTACTTGTCATGTATATGCATAATATGTATGTAGTTTTTATTATTTATATATGAATAGCATTGGTGGATAAATTACTTATTTTTTAGAAACACTTGAAAATTATATATAGTTTCTTTTTTTTTTTTTTGAAAGATAATTATTTGAGAGAGAGTGAGAGATAAAGAGAGGAAGCACAAGTGAGGGAGAGGGTCAGAGGGAAAGGGAGAAATAGGTTTCCTGCTTAGTAGGGTCCTGGGATCATGACCTGAGCCAAAGACAGACAGTTAACTGACTGGGCCACCCAGATGCCCCTAGATGGATTGCTTCTTAATCAAACTATATTCCAACTATTTGTAGGTATTGGAACTATTGGTTGTATGATTGGTATAATATTTAAACTGTTGCAGATTGAGGTGAATCAGTTGAAAATTAAAGAGCAACATATGAGTAGCCATTTATATTTTTAATTTGACACTTTTTTGAGTTAATTTGACACTTTTTGATAAGAAAATAGGTCAGTATGTTTATATATGTATATTTTTTGTTTTAATTTCAGACAACCTAATGAGACCTCTTTTGAATTATGGTATTGCTTGGTAAGTATATCTTTTTTACTTTATGCTACTTTTCAGAGTAATATTGATTAATATATGTAAATTAGTTATATTTTTGGTTTACTGTTACAGTATGTCTTTGGGCTTCTTGATTGAAGAGACTGCACCAGTTGTTTGGAGAGGCCTTATGGTAATGTCAGCCATTGAGAAACTGTTGAGGCAGGTAAGAAAATTGCATTGAATATCATTTTATTATTGGCACACTGTGGTTATTGCACTTGCTGATTGGGGAGTTGTTAAAATTTTCAGTCAGGTTTGAGATGTTTTGCAAAAGAATCCAGCTGATAGACTGAGTATATAAGGACTTATGTGGCGCCAAGACCAATTTCACTGGTCTGTGATTTAATCTTCCCCATTGTTTCTACTGAAAATCCTAATGTCTTATTTTATATTGTTCTTTTGCTTTGTTTCATCTGCGGTGAGATCAAGAAATCTATTTTATAAGTAATCTGCCGTCTTTAAATTTATGATTAATCTCATTATGGCCAATATTGAGTTATAAGGGCAGTGTAGATGTTCTTGGGGTATAGAAAAAATTCTATAAATCATGCTCATTTTAAAATTGCTTTAGGACAAAATGAAATTTTTTTTTTTATTTTGAGTACATCTGGCTCTATATTTATGTATATAATATCTTTCCAATCAACTTAATTTATCCTTAAGGAAGAGAACAGTTGATTGGGTAACCTAAAAATATCAGATGGGCTATATGTTATTTATGGAAATAACTTTGATTTTTTTTCTAGTAGATGTGAATATATAGTTAATTATGTTCTAGGTAAATATTATAAGTAATTTGGATTTTCTCCACTATTTACAGCAATTACCACTTATTTATTCAGATTTCACTTTGGGTCAGGCACCATGTCATTGGTTGACAATTCTATTCATAGATATTCCTATATTCATTTCTAATTGCAAGAGTTGGTAGATGAAATATGTCTTGAACTCTTCTTTTTTGATTGTCACATCTTGTCTTTCTTCTGCTACTTGAGTTCTAATAAATGTGCTCTTTGATCTCTGGTCCCAGAATCCTCCTCCTTTCCTAGTGCATTCAAGTCTTGCTGTATTACCTCCTCTTTTATACTCAGATCTCATAGTTGGCTATTTCAGTTATACTCCCAACAATACCTCTTCTTTACCAATTCCTTGTGACCTTAATCTTTATCCTTTATTTGTGTGGATTAACTCAGCCTCTATTTTTTTTAAGGAAATTATAAAACAGTCTTTATTCATCTTATATTTAAAGTTAGAGTCAATAGAAATTTAGGAACAGAAAAGAAAAACTCTGATTTTTGTTATCAGAATATTTTAAATGCTAATTTTTCCCCTCCTCTATTAGTGTTGTAATTCTCAACAGGAAATGATTCAGATTTTCACCTAAGCCTTATGGATGGCCACAAGAAGATGAAAATACTTCTGCTTTCCACAGTGAACAAAGACTTAGAGATCCAAATCAGTGATAAGAGACACAGAGATAAGCCAAGTATTGGTGCTCCCCTCTGAGTGATGCAGGATCCTGCCTCTAAGTGTCCTTTTTAAGTAAGATCCACTTGAGCCCCAGATTGCAACAGGTGGTGAAAACATCTCTGCAAAGGAGCCCCTGAAGGTGAAAGAGAGAGATAGGTGTGCACATGCCCTCAGGAGAGGGGCAAAGGGAATGTCTCACGGTAGAATTGAGAGTAAACCTGACAGTGCAAATTGATTATGATGCAAAAAATTTGCACCTGAAACTTAGATTTAGTAACTGCTTTTATAAATGAAGAAAACTTTATGAGACCAGAAGTGAAAGATCAAAAGTCTGAAGGAACCAGAATATATTGTTTTTTCATTCTGTGAGATACTGGGGAAGAGAGGAAGCATAGGATCCCATTCCATAGTCTCAGTCAATATCCCTCCAATAACCCAGCCTTTTTATCTACTGCTGAATACTGTCAGAGAATATAGAATAATTGTGTTAATTGCTGGCATTATACATTTTTGGTCTCTGAATTCAGCTACCTCTCTTCACTTCAGTCATCTGACATTATTCATGTTTACCTCAATATTCATCAAATGCTAAGTTTAAAAAATATTTATGGAATTTGATAGTCTGGCAGAGAACCTAGTGGAGATTTGGATATTTGGCTCTCTGACACATAAATCATAAAAAATCAATTTACTCTGATAAGTGCTGAAAGTATGTTTTTAGCAAATATGCTATAAAATATCAGAAAAAAGATGGGGTGAGAAAATGACTCCATAACTTATTTTATTGGTATACTCTAGATATCCTCTAAGATATTAGGTCATTACATATTTATCTTACAGTCTTTTGAAAAGTTACTGTTATCGTTTCTGCATTTTAATTGTAACTGAAAAGCTGATATTTTTTGACTATGACCGGTACTGATTATCTCAACTGCTAATTAAGGAGTGTTTTGGTTTTGTTTTTTGCTTTGCTTTAGAAAGCAGTTTTTGGTAAGTTTAACATCCTTTGTGAAAGTTTAGTAGCTGGATAGATGTTCTGTACAGCATTGGGTTGTGGAGGCTACCTGATTCATTGGCTGCTGAAAAAAATTAAGTGTAATATCCATACAGAAGAATGTACAAGTCAGAAGTCTGCAGATAGATGGATTATCCCAAAGTGAAAATTCCTATATAATTTTTCAAGACATGATAAATAGAATATTAGTATTCTAGAAGTTCCTTTCATGTCTCTTCCTAGTTGCTGTTTTGAGGAGAAGATAAGTACTTGTGGTCTGTCTGCCATCTGAACTGAAAGTCTGGTTTAAAGTTTTTTTCCTTTGTCTCATGATATTTTATTGAGTTAAATTTATATGTGCTACGGGATGCAAGATCTTATGTGTATGGTTTAGTAATTTTTGATAAATGTATATTCCTGTGTAACCACACCCCAATCAAGATAGAGAACATTTCCAGCCCCTACAACATTTCCTTGGGTTTCCTTCTATTCACTCCTCCACTCATAGACCATCACAGTTGTGATTTCTAAGATCATAAGTGAGTTTTGTTTTGTTCTTATACTTCATATAAATGGAACCCTACAGACTATATAGCCTTTGGTGTCTGGTTTCTTTCTCTTAGCCTAATGCTTTTGAACACCATCCTTGTTGTTGCATATATAAGTAGTTGAGTCGTTTTTATTGCTGAGTAGTATTTCCATCACATGAATACAATCAAATACTGTTTGTTCTTTTGTTGATGGACATTTGGATAGACACCAGTTTTTTGGCTATTATGAATAATGCTGCTATAAATACTTGTACAGGTGTTCATAAGACTTACAGTTGCTTCACATTTTGTCAGCATTTGGTATTGTCAGTCTCTTCACTAGTGGGTATAAAATGATACCTTCCCATTGTTGTAGTTTGTGCTTTCCTGATGATCATTGATGTTTAGCTCCTTTTCATGTGCATATTAGATATCTCTGTATCTTCTGTTATCAAGTGACTGTTCAAGTCTTTTACTCATTTTTTTTTAATTGGCTCATTTTTCTTCTTGTAATCAAGTTGCAAGAGTTTAAATATATTCTGGCTATGAGTCCATTGTCAGATATATGTATTGGGCATATTTCTTCTAGTCTCTGTAGCTTGCCTTTTGATTAACTGATGTTTTAAATTTTCATGAAATCCAATTTATCGAAAAAAAAATTTTTTTTAATGCTGAGTGCTTTTTGTGTCCTAAGAAATGTTTGCCTGTATACCCCAAGGTAATAAAGATATTCTTATATACTTTTCCTCAACACTTTATAGTTTTGGCCTGCACATCTTGAATTAAATTTTGTGTGGGAAGTGAGATAAGGGTTTATATTTTTTCACAGCTGTGGTATAATAGCAAATATATTTGTTCTTTGTCCCTGAGTCCTGGTGCGAAGCTCCTAAAACTCTTGGGATGTCCTGAGTGATGGAGTATCTTTTGTGATTCATGAGGAGCCCCTTTTTGAGCACACTGAGTTCATGCTAGTAAGGTGACTTAGGGTGGGGGCCCCTGGATAGTCTCTCAGGATGGGACTGATCACCAGAAAGACCAATTGTTTAGAGGGTTAGGACTTTCAGCCCCACCCACTAGCCTTTGGGAAGGGAATGGAGGGTGGGGTGCATATTAAGCTCTGAAAACTGTTGATGAGCTGCTGATTGGTGATGGGTTGTGTTCTGTGGGGACAGAAGCTCCTATGCTGAGAGCCTTTTTGGACCTTGCCCTTTGTATCTTTTCATCTAGCTATTTATATCCTTTCTAATACCCTTTATCATAAACTAGTCAACATAAGTAAATGTGTCTCTGAGTTCTGTGAGTTGCTCTAGCAAATTAATCAAACCTGAAGGAGAGGGTCATGGAAACCTCTGATTTATAGCTAGTCAGTCCAGAAGCACAGGTAATAACTTGGACTTGTGATTGGTGTCTGATTGATGGGAGTAGTCTGGTGAGACTAAGCCCTTAAGTAACTTGTGGAATCTGATGCTGTATACTGGTAGATAGTGTCCGAATCAAACTAATTGCTTGGTGGAGGGGAAAACAAATAGTAGTTTATCTAGTTCTAGCACCATTTGTTTAAAAGACTTCCTTTTCCCCCTTGAATTAATACATTAGATGAAAATCAGTTGAGTATGTTTATGGGTTTATCTTTGGACACTGTATTTTGTTCAGTCTATCTGATTTAAGCCTTACAGTAAAACCATACTATCTTGATAATTGTAGCTATGTAGAAATCTTAAAGTCAGAAAGGGTGAGGCTTCCAACTTTTTTTTTTTTTCAGAATTGTATTAGCTACATTAGGGTCTTTTCCGTTTCTGTATAAATTTTAGATTCAGCTTGTCAATTTGTACAGAAAAGCATGTTGGTATTTTCATTAAGATGTTACTGAATATATTAGATCAATATTTTGTGAATCAAGATTCTGACAACATTGAGGCTTCTAATCCATTAGCATGGTATGTTTCTATACTTATTTAGATTTTCTTTAATTTCTTGGAGTAATATATAGTTTCTAGTGTATTGGTCTTGTACTTTTGTTAAATTTATTCTAAGTATTTTATATCTGAGATGATTTTGGAATTGTCTTTTGTATTTAATTTCAAGTTGTTTGCTGTTAGGACATAGAATATACTCTATCTTTGTATAATAACTTTGTGTTATGTGACTTTGCTAAATTTTTTTTTAAAG